GGGCCCGGTGGGCAGTCTGATCCAGGCAGTGGGTGGCTCCTTCCCATTCGGCACCGGAACTGACTTTTGTGCCAGGTCACTCCGTTGTGGGTGCTGAGCAGCATCCTGGCCTGTGTCCAGGAGACATTTACGGCAACCCCTCCATTGTGACAGTCGAAAATGGCTGCAGACATTGCCAAATATCTCTTCATGGGGACAATTGTCCTCAGTTGAGAACCATGGATCTAATACAGTTCTTTCTCTGGACTTTTAGAAATCATGACAAGAATTCTTAAACATTCCAGGCACAGTAGCCAGGACATTGATGACAAATACCTTCCATTTGTGTTTTCCTTTACAGTTTTAAATATATTTTCACATGAACTCCATATGCTTAGGTCAAATGTAATGAAATTAAGTGGCAGTGCCTAAGGAAAACAATGAAGAAGGGCTATCCACATTCCATTTTTAATTTTTCTCGAGAAACTTTGTTTTTAAGGATCGTAGAATATATATATAATATATGTATATATATATATATATATACATATATATATATATATATTTTGTCTGTATGTGTGCTGATAGCTTTCTTTTTAAGTTTAGTCACATCTTTATTGTTTGTGCTAGGGACCTTTGAGCTCTGTGGCTCCTTGTTCCCAAAGGAGTTGAAATTGTGTATAAAATAAGTTTTGAAATATAAGAGAGCTCTTGCTTTAAGCTTGTAAGTAACTGGCACAGCAGTGCTGTAAGAATTAATCACAAGTAAATAATCAGCTACAGGTTGGTCACTGGAGAAACATATCATACGAGAGGTAGACTTGATATGAGAAAAAGCAAGCAAACTGGGCTTTGAAAGAAATGTCATACTTAAGTTGGCACAGACTTGTTGGGAAGGTGAGGAGAGTGTATTTAGGACCCAGGAGACCGTGTGAATAGAGCAGAAAACTGCATTGGAGTAGACCTGTGCCTGGAAGGCAAGGATCAGACTGGGTGTAGGGGGAAAGGCAATTAAAGAGAGAGTTACGAGCAATCTGGGTTTGAATTCTAGCTTGCAAAAGTGAGACCTCATCCTGTAGCATTTGCAACCATCATGATTGGCAAAGGGGGAAGAGAGATGTGCAAGATGCACATTTCTTTTACAGGTGGCAGATGGCATGGAGGAGAGCAACAGTGAGGAAGAGAGTGTTGTGGAACTGTATGGAGAGCAAGGGAAGGGATATGCAAGGAACTTGGCAGGATACGGGGGCTGATGGGATAGGAGGTTGTATTAAAGCGACACCAACATTGCCAGGCTGTATGAAAGGAGAATGCACATTATCCTTAACAGAAATGGAAAAGCCAGCGTGAGAAGTCAAGTGATGTGTTCAGTTTTAGGCATGTGGTGGTTGAGATGATGGTACACATCCCCAGGGAGGGGTCCAGCTAGTATATAAAATACTTTCAGCTGGAAGTAGTGAAGAATTTATGGGATTGGTGTGTGTGTGTGTGTGTGTGTGTGTGTGTGTACAGGAAGGAACCTGTGAAATCATCTCTCCCTCCTGCCTTCTCATTTTATAGATGAAAAAGATGTGACATGTTAAGCGGCCTGATCACTATCAAGTAGCATTTAGGAGGGAGATCCTATTGCACAATGCAGAGGAATTCTAATCTCGTAAAATGAAAAACGATGGGGAAGAAATGTCTGAAGATGCCCTTTGGGATGAAACCTAACACTTTCAGGTTTGAAGCCCCAAAAGGAAAAAATTTGGAATGTGTGGACCAGGAAGAGTGAAGGACTAAAAGCTTCCCCTGCCTAAAGGGGGAGGAAAAGGGAGCTTCTTGACGGAGACCAAGAAGGGTGAAGAGTGGGACACGGTGGGAGTGGTCAGGAGTCATAGAATGAGGGCTGAGCAAAGCCACTTACCTTGGTTAGGTCTCAGTCTTACAGAAAAAATGGTAGAATCATTAAGGCTAAGAGATGGGCAGTACTTTATCTACATTTTGCAAGAGAGGATACAGGCAAAGAGAAGTTAGCCTACTTGCCCAGAATCACACAGCTCCTCAGTTGTAAAGCCAGAATTTGCCAATCAAGCATGATTTTGGGAAGGGGGTGATTAACACAAGAGGCTGCTGGCAATAAAAAGGGTTGGGGTGGATTCCAGACAAGGTTACCTGGCGGGCAAGGAGCTCTGAGAGAGGTGGACAGAAGTTGGGGAAGCCAGAGAGGACACATAGTGACACAAGGTCCTAGTGAAGCATTGACCACGAGCACTGGTTAAGCCACAGGTCTTAGGCAAGAGGAGGCAAAACACTTGTTCTTCTAGCTCCTGGCCTTTTCACTACCAAAGGCTGCTTTTGTTATCCTCCCAAGGACCCTAGGTTCTCTAAGATTTTGATTAACAATTCTTAAGATTTAATTGAAGTATTAATTAGATTCAGTGAAATGTCCATATCTTAAGTATGTTTAATTTGCTTTGACTGTCAACTTTAATATATTCATTTCCTATTTTTTATTACCCAAAGATATGTGACATTGCTAATCAGAACCTAGGATTACTGCACAAAATTCATTCAATCTCACTAAAAGTAAGGATACCTAATGCTGTAAGTAACTTGTTTTTCTTATCTGGGGCCTTTTCAAATATACATCCATATTAGCCCATAGATGCATAGTATCATCTAAGAAAACACAGCACTGTTAGATGCAAGCACCCTAATTGGGCAAACAGGCACAGTTAGGGGAAGAGACGGCCAGGAAGAATAGGACCACTGTTGGCCTTAGGAGTAACACTTTATTTTTTAATTGTACATATTTAAGGTATAAAATATGATTACTATAGGCAGGCAAGTTAACATATCCATCATTACCTTCTTCTGTGTGTGTATGTGTGTGTGTGTGTGTGTGGCAAGAACTACAATCTTCTCTTTTAGAAAAAGTCCCTAATACAATGCACTATTAACTGTAGTCTTCATGGTTATATTATGTTTCTAGATATGTTTATCTTCCAGTCTGCAACTTTATGTCCTTTGATCTAAATTTCCCCATCCCCCTTCCCACCAGTAACCACTCTTTTATTTGTGTGTGTATTCAACTTTTTTTAAAAAAAATATTCTACATGTAAGCAAATCATGCAATATTTTTCTTTCTGTCCCTACTTTATTTCACTCACTGAGCAAAATGCTCTCCAGGTTAACCTATTTTGTGGTGAATGGCAGGATCTTCTTTCTTAAGGATATATAATATTTGTGTGTGGGGGCGGTGAGATAGTTTCTTCACCCATTCATCCACTGGTGGACATTTTGGTGCTTTCCAGTCTTGGTTATTGTGAGCAGTGCTACAGTGAACAAGGGAGAGCAGGTATCTTTAAGAGATGGTGACTTCATTTTCTTTGGATATATGCCCAGAAGAGGGATTGTTAGGTCATATCATAGATCTATTTTTAATTTCTTTGGAAACTTTGGTTTACATTTCCACCAACAACGTAAAAAGATTCTCTTGCTAACACTTTTATCTCTTGAGTTTTTGATAATAGCCATCCTAACAGGTATGAAATGATACCTCATTGTGTTTTGATTTATATCCCTTATGATTACTGATGTTGATCCACTTGTGTCCTTGTTGGGGAAATGTCTTATTAACATGTTCTTCAGAACCACTTATCTAGCTATCATGGTTGATTCTCAGAAGTTGAACTTGGAGAGGTATGATCATATTATTTCTTCATGATAATCAATAACTATTCATAACAGATTTTTAAATTCATTTATGTGGCTGGATATGTAGTGATACTCAGGTGATATTATTCTTACTTCTTTCTAGTCTAGTTCTGCAAAAGACAGAATGTTGTAAACTCCATTTTCCATACTTGCAGCTGAACTTGTAGATATGGTTGAGAATTCACCAACAGAGAGTGGTGGTGGGAAGAACAGCAGGTCTAGATAGTGTAGTGATACTGTTATCTTTTAAGTTTGACAGTGTTGTGGTGATATCATTTCAAAAGAATGTCCTTTTTTTTTGAGACAGGGTCTCACTATGTAGTTCAGGCTGCCTTTGAACTCACTATGTAGTCCAGGTTGGCCTCAAACTTGCAATGCTGCCTTAGCCTCCCAAGTGCAGAATTACAAGTGTGCATCACCATGCCCAGCTGAGGTTCTTAGCTTTTAAAGACATATGCTGACAATTTTCAGGTGATGGTGGGTGAAAGTAAAGAGAGAAACAAAGCAGTTGTGAATTGAAAATTGTTGAAATTGGTAAATGGGAATTCATTATACTATTTGGTTTATTTGTATATATATTTAAAAATTCCCATAAGAATTTTAAAAATAGGATTGGAGATGTAATTCAGTGCACTTTTATCATGTGTAAGGCCCTGGGCCTAATATATAGCACCAAATAAATAAAGGGAGGAATGAATAAAATTAAGGCTCTCGGGCAGAGTTTAGATTTACCCAAGATCTTTCTATCTCTCTTAAGCCGACAGGATTTCATACAAGGAGTTAAGGACCTATATGTTTGTTGCATTTACTGGCAGAGCAGGCTAAAGGCTGAGTCTCCAGGAACAGTGATCATCACAGCATCACTGCAGGGCCTGCTGAGGTGAATGGCTACTTGTGAGGCCATTGGGAAGCCATCATCTATCATGATGCATGCTTCAGGAACACATCCCCTGAGCCTGATTTGGTCACCAGGAATCACAGTCACAGCTCTTGGCTCCAGGCCACCTGCTACCCTTGCAACAGCTGTGCCAGCGCAATGGGTGTCCTGCTCCCACCACCATCCTGTTCCATGGTGAACCCTAAATCACATCTAGAAGTCTAGCTGCAAGAGAGTGTGGGAGTACAGTTCACACCTTTGTGGGTTTTGCCAAATTAACTAGCAAGAAGTGAGAGCAAATCCCAAACCAGCCAATCCACCACACTGTATTAATTACTAATTAATTAGTAATTAGTACTGTTCCCACTACAAATAATGTCTCCCTCATCCCCAATCTAATATTACTTATCCTTTTTCTCTTTTTCTTTCTTTTTTGTGGTACCAGAAATTGAATTCAAGACCTCACACTTGCAAGGCAGGCTGCAGCACCACTGAGCTAAATCCCCAGATTTATGGTACTGAATATTGAATCCAAGGGTGCTCTACCATAGAGGTACGTCCTCAGCCCTTTTAAGGGGTGCTGAGTATTGAACCCAGGGCCTTGAACATGCTAGGCAAGTGAGCTATATCTAAGTTGCCTAGACTGGCCCCTGCCTCCTGAGCAGCTGGGGTTGCAGATGTATGCCACTACACCCAGCCGATCTTACCTACCTTTAGAACAGTTCAAGTCCTATCAAAAAACCTTATTTGATTTGTTCAAGCCCTATGTATTTCTCTTTCTACCTTCCTTACTTTTTTCCTTCCTTCACATATGTATGTACACATATTATATGTGTATATTTATATGTGGCTCTGGAATCTTTCTGGACTTGACCCATCATGTGGTTTGATATCTACTGTATAAAATGTTTTATGCTACACTGACATTTTATGTGGGATGACCTTGCTTGCTCAAAAAGACTCTAAGTGACTTAAGACCAGACAAGTTTGTGTATTTCCTTCTTTGATACATAACAACATGTGGAGTAAAAAGTAAGCTTATGTATTTTACAAGGGTACTATTGTAATGTATACCAGTAACTGTAGCAAGATGATAATGCTTAAGTGTCTCACAAAATTGTGGTATCAGAAGTGCTCTATGCTGAGCAAATTGTAATTTGTAACCTACCATAAATGTTGAGAGATGGTAATTATGGCTAACGTAAAGATCTTTAGATAGTGACTCCAGTTTGCCTCTTAATTAATTATATGGCCCAATGATTGTGTCTTAATCTCTCAGTGAAACTGTAATTCTTTGTTTCTTGAATTCACCCCGTACTTCCTCCCTCTGTAGGTTAACCACGTGCTCCCTCTGCTAAGTTTCAGTCAGGTCTCCTTTCCCCTGTCCCTGTCTTCCCCATCAAGCAGTCTGAGTTTCTGGCAGTACAGGCTGAGTGTCCATTTCTAGCACAGTCAAAAAGTAACTGCCAGGCGTGGTGGCTCATGCCTATAATCCCAGCACTCGGAGGCTGAGGCAGGAGGATCGCTGTGAGTTCGAGACCAGCCTGGGCTACATAGTGAGTTCCAGGTCAGTCTCAACTATGCAGTGAGACCCTGTCTCAAAAAAAGAAGTAACTGAGCATGAGCAGTAATGGTGTGGACCTAAGTTTACTGGCGGAACTCAGGATAGAAAATAATGTCACGTAGGGCCGGGGATTTAGCTCAGTGGTTCTGCCGCCTGCCTTGTAAGCACAAGGACCTGAGTTCGATCTCTGGTACCAAAAGAAAAAAAGAAAATAATGTCACATTGAGTGAAAAAATATGTTTGTCTAAAAACTCAGTGGCATAATTTTCATCTTCTTAATACACACATATTTCTTTTCACACTGTTTGGTTTTACAGGTATTCGTTGAGTGTGTGCTGTGTACTGGGAGGCATATCTATCCTCACAGAAAAACTCTGGAAGGCTAAATGGCAATACCTATACCGTGATCAACTTTGCTTGCTGAGATAACAGGTGACTTTTCTCTTTGTTTTACTCCATTTGCAAAATTGTGTTTTCTACAGAAACCTGTATAATTTATTTATAGGGAGCTAATGTATTTTTATAAAAACTGTTTTTCAGGATGCTTACAGTATAATGCTCCAAGAAAGAAAAAGAGGTTAAAAACTATAAAATTCCCAAAGTTAAATTACTAAAAGAGAGGGGTAGACAGAAATAGAAAAACTGAATAAGGGACAAAAGGGTAGAAAAGAAAAGTAAGTAAATGTGTTAATATCTAACAGTGGCCCATTTGTGGGTGGTGGCCTTTCTTTTACAATGTTTGTTTTAAAGATTTTTACAGTGAGCCTGTGTTTACTCACTTAGAACAAGGAAAAAAAGTTTTCAAAGTCCAGCTCAAAGTAACTTTTTTATGAAGCTGTCTCAGATCTCTGAATTTGACTACTTTTTTTTTTTTTTTTTTTTTTTTTTTGAGACAGGGTCTTGCCTCTGGCCTCCTGGGTGCTAGGATTATAGGCATGAGCCACCATGTCTAGCCAGAATTTGACATTTTTCAAACTTTCTGAACTCCATAGCACTCAATAGATACTTGATAAATTGAAAGAATAGTATTTTTCAGTGCAGCCTCAGCCTTGATGATAGGTATCGCTAACCTTGTTCCTTTTCCCTTTTGTTTTCTAGTGTTGATTTTTAAGAACAAATTAGATTTCAAATAAGTTATTTTATAACAATAAAAATGCATTCCATGTGATTAGCTTGGACTGACATTTGCCTACTACTGCCTTATTTTAGTGCCAGGACTTGTGTTAAACCTTTGTCTTTTGCCCATTTTCTAACTAACTAGTTATGTGTATGTTGTTTATATACTACACATACATGCGCAATATGAAAGTTTAAATATAAACAGTAGATTCCAGAGCTATTATTGATCCACCTCTTTTCTCAGAAACTTTGGGTCTGGTGCAGAGAGAAAAAGAATCCTTAACATGGATTGGAAACTCCATCCCCTGGATGAGCTCCCACCAGCCATGTAACGTCATTTCTGTAGCCTTAGAGGTGGTCTTCTAGGGGAAGTCAGTGTTTCAAGGCTTCTAGAAATCACCCAGTGTAGCCCACTGAGACAGCTGTCATCAGAGGGGCCAGGAGCTGAAATGGGTCCAGAGTCTGAACGCATTTCAGCCTTTGCACAGTAAAGAGCCTGGGAACCCTTCCCGCTGTGTCAAGGCCCGGAAAGGCCAGTCTCTTGTACCACTGTAGCAGCTTGATCACCCAGCTTCAGCCTGGGAAGCATGGGGCTCAGATATCCTTGTCCTGATTTCCTGACCTCCAGGAGAGGCCTGCCTGCAGGAAGGAAGAAGTTCCTGGAACCTGAGATATTAGGCGGTATTTACATTTTGGAAGTTTTAAAGGATCCTGAAATCAGGAAAGTTTCATACTAGAAGGGAGATTGTGTGAAAGAAAAAGAATATGTGATCTGGGTGTGGAAAGAGAAGAGAGTATCTGAAAAATACCCTTTTAGGACACGTTCTGTGGGTCCGTAAAGTATCATCACTGAGTGAAATGCTTCTTGGCATATACTAGGATACCTCTAGGTACCATAGAGTTCTGTCTCTTAAGTAAGTCACAGTCAGTCATCTTATAGAATTCAGGATCTGACAAAATATCAGAGTGTTCTCCAAGGTGGTTTGCCATTGGAAGTATACTGAAAGAAGCCTCTTGGACATTCTGCTTTATCCTAGGCCCCCACCCTCACTGAGGGTGTCTGGTGAGGCTGCCACGCATAGATTGGCCTTGCTTTTGACGTTGCCTTTGCCTCTCTGGCCACCTTTTTTACTGTGATGCTGTCCCTCCAAAACTTTCTGTTCCTTAAATCCAGTTAGTGATCCCTCAAAAATATAAAGTACAGTAATCCATGTGGGAGAAAATGTGAATTCTGATGATGTTTTATTTCTGATGAGAAAATAGAGTAGCTGGTAGATTAACCAAAATCCCCTGAGCATGAATTTTTAATTCCCTAATTCCCTGACATGGAGTGCTTTCATTGAAGAGATTGATTTAATCTCTTGCAGTTGATGGATAAACTTATCTTATCTGCTCAGTTTCAAAGCAAAACCTGTCCACTGCCCAGTTCACCACCAGGTTGGGTAGTTGATCCCTAGGTGATGCCTTTTATGTAGAACTCATGGTTTTCTGAAAGTAGGATTGCTTCATCGGGGGTGCTTCTGTGTCTCTGAGGTCTGTACCCAGCTATACGTGTGCTGTGTGACCTGACACATTAAAAGCACCGAATCACTTGAGCACAGTGTTCTATAAGAGTGTCTATATTGCCTGCTGCTATGATAGTGTTCCTGTGAACATAAGCATAAGATTATAGGGCATGACTCATTTTACAGTTAAAAGTGGAGGGAAAATTTTGAAAGACAAAATAAAATTTAGAGATGAGCTTTTGTAATTTATTTATTTATTCATTTTTTTGGTACTGGGGATCGAACTTGGGACCTTGTGCTTGCGAGGCAGGCGGTGTCACCGCTGAGCTAAATCCCCGGCCCAGCCTTTATAATTTGATATACAAAGATTGCTTTATTGTGCCTATTGGTGATATGTGAAAGTTGCATTTTCGGTAAATTATTTGTGTACTTGCAATAGTTCATTTTAATCAGTGGTATTTGCCATATGTTTAATTGTTTTTTATCTTTGTTATATTTTAGGGATATTAAGCACATATATTTGCTGTTATCTGCTTTGAATACTCTCAGAACAGGAGAAATTTGGACTGATTTTTGAACTACATTCCTTCTAAACATGATGCATTTCAAAAGTGGACTCGAATTAACTGAATTGCAAAATATGACAGTGCCTGAGGATGATAACATTAGCAATGATTCCAATGATTTCACTGAGGTAGAAAATGGTCAAATAAATAGGTGAGTATTTTTCCACTATGAATGAAATAGCTCTAAAAATTTATTCTGGATTTCTGTTTTTCTCTTGAATTATTCATTACTAAAGTTACGCTCCATTTGAAGATGCAATTTGAATTTCTTGCGTGACATCTGTTGGGCATAGTCTCCCATAGCAGTTGAAGCAAATAGGAAAGTAATTTATTCATCTTTTCAAATCTTTCAGTTGAGTCTAGTAAAAATGTATAAAGACATTGGACCCCAACCACCCTAAACTTTTAAAAAGCTCTGTGCTTATGAATTAGACAGACTGTTTGAATTTCACTGCATCTCATATCTGAATGTGTACTATTGATGGTCTTTATAAAGGGAATAGACATAGGTACACATTTCAATCAAGAAATGGTCAAAGTTGCATTTGCCAATAATCCAGTATTAAAACTAGGAACAAGTGCATTGTTATTAAAGCACTATTTGTAGGGTGGATTTTAAATAATAATACAAACAGTTGGGTTCACATGGCTCTGTTAGAGACTATAATAGAGAAATAGTAAATGAAAAAGAAAGCAAAGGAGGGGAAGTAGTCAGAGTAGAAAGAGGGCTCAGCTGGGTGTGACGCCATGTGTAGAATCTTAGCACTTGGTAGGCTGAGGTAGGAGGATCACTACAAATGAGTTCGAGGCCAGCCTGGTCTACATAGTAGGACCCTGTCTCAAAAAATACAAAGGAAGAAAAAGAGGAAAGGAAAGAAAGAAAGGAGCAGTAAGGGGAGGGAGGCTTGGAAGCTCTTGCCCTTAGGTATGACCTTGGACAAGCTCTCCCAACTCTTGGGTCTGTATTTATAAAACTGTAAGAGTAGAACCAAATGTATTTTCTTTCAGCCGTTTGGGGCATTCTCCAACTTAGTTGTTTTTAGCTGACCTATGTGACTCCTCAGCAGGAAGCTCTCTAGCTTGGGAGTTAGTGGCATCACCTCTTAACAAGCTGGGAAAAGACAGTAGGGTCTCCAGGACAGTTTAGTAAAACACAGCAGTGGCACACAGCAAAGAAAACAGAGAAGAGACTACAGCATGGGAAGACTTTTTTGCCAGCTACTCCTCAGAGGACTAATATCTAGAATATATGAAGAACAAAAACAAAAAGCTAGATCCGCCCCCAAATAAAAGACCTGATCAAAAAATGGTAAATTGAAATAAAGAGATACTTTTAGAAGAAGTGAAAAAAATGTTCAGCATTTTGGGCCATTTAGAGAAATGCAAATCAGAACAACACTGAGATTCCATCTTATTTCAGTGAATAACAAAAAGACTCAAGAAACAACAAATTTTTGGTAAGGTTGTGATGAAAAAAAAAAAACCCACATTGTTGGTGGGAATGTAAACTAGTACAACCACTGTGAAAATCAGTATGGAGTTTCCTCAAAAATCTAAAAATTTCATTTGACCCAGCTCTACTTGTCCTGGGCATCTTCCCGAAAGAGCTAGAGTTACCATATCACAGCCTGCATGCACACACAGGTTTGTGGCAGCACAACTCACAATAGCTAAATCATAGAAGGACCTTTATGTCTAGAAACAGATGAAGGAATAAAGAAAAGGGGACATTTATACAGAGTAGAGTATACTCAGTCATAAAGAAGAATAAATTTGACTCATTTGTAGGAAAATGAATAAATCATGAGACCATAATACTGAGGGAAGAAGTAAGTCAATCACAAATGATGAAATATCACGTGATTTCTCTGAGAGATGCAAACTACACATAATTAAAAGAACAAAATAAAAGAGCCACGTTGAGAAATGGGGTAGACTCTGTGGAGATGGGAAGGGCATCAAGGGAGGGAGGAAGGGGGAGACCTGGGGTGGGTAAAAATGATCAAGATGTAATACTATTATGTATCAACACCCAACTTGGAAGTAATCTCTATGTATCACAAACATATACTAATAAAGTTTTTTTTTAAAGAGCACCAACATTGCTATGATTTGGGAGGGTCAGCAGGAAACTTGGATACAAGAGGATAAGAACATTTGTCAACTAATCAGCCATCCTCGTAGAAATCATTTTGGACAGTCCAGTGGTATAGTGTATAACTGAAAGCCCAACAAAGGATTTAGCTGTCATTATTTACATACCCTCTAAGTTCCATTTTTCCTACCTTGAAAGAAGGTTAAGTCCCGACTCAGACAATTCCCTTCATTATCATGCAGGTATTGTTTATTGTGTGTTAGGGTGTTTCTTTTTGTTTTCGAATTTACTTCTTTCACCATTTTTTGAGTAATGATGACTAATAATTACCATTTCTTGAATGTCACGTGTTTTAAAGGTGTTACCACATATCCTTGTGACCATCATGTAAAGCAGGTATATTGGAAATGAGAGAAAATTTTAAAATTTAATTACAATTCAGGAAGTGGAGGCTAAGCATATAAATACATACACACACGCGAACATACCTACATATATAGCTTGGCCACAGTCACATACAGGTCTGTCAGAATCCTTCAGAATCTGTGGCAGTGCTTGGGATGATTCAAAGCTAGGTTTTGCTTAGCTTCCTGCCATTCTGTGCCCTGTGCCCTGGAGTGTTTTCTGCTAGTCCCTGCTGACTGACAAGGCAAGTGGGACATTTTGGTTTTATAACAACGCTTTGGTCTTGAAGCAGTGTAGTCTAAAGGGCCTTAATATGAGTCATTTGTAACAGAATTTTTTTTTCTTTTTTTTGAGACAGGGTCTCACTATGTCGTTGAGACTGACCTGGAACTCACTATGTATGTAGTCCAGGCTGCTCTCAAACTCACAGCGATCCTCCTGCCTCAGCCTCCTGAGTGCTGGGATTACAGGCGTGCACCACCACACCCAGCCATTTGTAACAGAATTTGAACTTGATTTTTTTAAAGTTTCACTTGCTGAGACTGTTATAACATTTTGGATTACCACTTGCAGGTGGTAGACAGAATGCTTGTTCTCACCCAGATGTGGGCCTGCTGCCCAGATGAGCTCACTTCCCCATAGACTAGGACAAGGGCAGTGGGGTCAGAGAGAGGGGAACTGCGGGGTGCTGGCCACTTCTGCAGAATTTTGTCCTGCTATTTCAATGCAGTGTGCTATAATGTGTTTCTTTCCTTATTTTATTGCCCCTCCTTCACTGCCATAGATCACGAATATTGCTTCACTTTTGGTTCTGGGACAATGAAATTAAAAACAACATAGGACAGCATGAAGCTTGGTGCACAAATACCAGACGAGATCCCCACCTATCTTGTTGAAGCGCCCCCTGTGGTCTGACTCACTGCATTGGCTTGATTTAGCACCCCTTGTTCCTGCAGACTCTGCAGCTAAGCAGCCCTCAGGACCAGCTAGATGAATCTAAAGAACCACCCCTCCCCAAACAGTGAACTTTAGCAAACAGTACCTCTTTTTTTAGGAGGCTAGAGAAAGTGTTGAAAACTGTTGATCTTGTATCACCTGGCAGCTAGTTGATAACTTTTCCTGGAAACTCCCTACCAGGAGACAATGAAAATCATGTTTTTTTTTAATTTAGTTAGAAATAGAGTAGAGCCATTTTGGCCACTGATATACCTGTCATTAGGCTGGGAGTGCTGGTGCATACCTGTAATCTCATTACTCTGGGAGGCTGAGGCAGGAGGATCACAAGTTCAAATCTAGCCTGAGCAACTTAACAAGACCTAAAATAAAAAAACAAATAAATAAAAAGGGCTGGGGATGTAGCTTAGGATGAAAGCCCTGAGTTCCATTTCTGGTACTGCCAAAAAACAAACCTATTATTCCAGGACCAGGGATTTAGCTCAATTGCACCACGCCTGACTCACAAGCACAAGATCCTGAGTTCAATCCCTGCTACCACACAAAACAACAACAAAAAACTACTGTTCCAGGGGGAGGGGAGAAAAAAAACTGCCCAGTTCAGTTGTTTTGTTTCATGACCTGATTTTGGGTTTTAGTCATAGACATGTATGCCTGGAATCAACACTGACTCAACTGTGAGCTTCCTGCTCCCCCTCTCTATTTGAAGTCTGGGCTGATTTAACTTCCTTCAGGCCATTAGTCCTGGCTTCTGTGTACGACGAGTCGCAGGCATTTTGCTGTGCATGAGATACACACAGAAACTTTGTTGAAGAGCAGATTTTAGTTCAGTAGGTCTGGATTGGGGTCTAATATGGCTCTAGCAGCCTTTTACCTGGTGTCTACCTGCTGTCTGGACCACACTTTAAGCAGTTGGCTCTGGACTCTTCCTTTGGCTCTGAGTCTCCTGAGAGAAGTCTTAATCATCTTTCCCTTGTACTTATCCAAGGCCTGGTGCAGGGTGGACATTCCAAATTATTTGTTGAATGAGTAGGGAGCAGGCTACATGGCTTCGGATTGCAACTTATATTGGATCCTGGCTCTGTCAATAGTCCTTAAGTGATGTTCTCTGAGCCTCAACCCTGTCCCTGGTAATGGGATTGCAGCACAGTGCTTTTTGTAGGTTGACAGCACCAGCTTTGCAGTCAGTGACTTTGGTTCAAATTCTGGCATGATGACTTAGTAATTACCAATGTAATTTTGGTCAAGTTATTTCATTTCTCTAAAGTAGTACCAGCCACATGCGATTGTTATGAAACAGATGAGAAAAATCCATGTAAGATACTTGGCACTGTTTCTGACAACAGTAACCCTCTCAGTATGGGAAAGTCTCACTAAAATTGCAAGCCTCTCTTTGTGTCAAGTACTCCTTTTTCTCCGCTCCAAGGGGCACTGATAATGCTTTAGGTTTTGCACGATCACTGGTTATTACAGTCTTAAATATAGTGAAATATTTATAGATTATCCTAAGTGTACCCAGAAAAATCTTCACATATTTTCATATCTCTCTGCTGTTATTATCAACCCTACACCTGAATTAAGATTTGTTCTTAAAAGAAGTCAGGGAGGGCTGGGGATTTAGCTCAGTGGCTCTGTACCTGCCCCACAAATACAAGGTCTGGAGTTCAACTCCCAGTATGGAAAAAAAAGAAAAAAAA